TGCGTTGTCACCCGTGGGGACTAAGATGAAATGCCCCGTTTCCTTTAAAAAGGGTCTCTGGTTCTCTACACTCACTATACGAAACACAGCATCATTAAGCTACTATTTTACGCTGATATTCTGTGAGAGCGTGGTCCTTCCCCGGTCGAGCCGACCTTCGTGCTGCAACTATACTTCTAATATATTTGCATGGTTCTACCACGTATAAACGACGTGCTTCATTTTTTTTCATTTTAAAATTGTTCTCGTAATAATCTGATTGTAAAAAAAACGTTATTTTTTTTTAAATAAATAGCTTATTGATTAAAACAAATGTTTAATAATAATTAAATCGCGCTAATTAAAGTAGTAGGAATGTTTAAAGTTGAAATTGGCACTAAAAGGCTGGTAATTGGGGCACCCACCCTACAAAGCTTGAATATAAAATTTAAATCAGATGCGTGTAATCACTCTGGGAGCTTGTAGCAAACTAAACGCGCGGCCAACGTGTGGACGCGGCGACCAAACTCTGCCAACAATCCTTTGATCTTTTGTAAAAAACCGACACCACACGGATCTCGCGCCAACTTGCGGGCCATCGTTCCAATACAAACCAATGAAGCCCAAACACCCCGTCTACAGGTTGACCAATGCTATTGGCCACTACATTCGCCACTGTGTTGGCCAACGTGTAGAGGCGCCGTTAGATTATACCTAAGTTTTGTTTTATTTTAAATTTAGTAATTGCTAAATTGATATTTATAAATATATACATGTATATTGTATTTACATATCATATTTATACATATTTTTGAAACTGTATTATTATATTTACATTTTATATCATATTATTGTTATATTACTATATATTATTATATTATCTTAATTTATTTGCTAAATGGATAATCTTGATGTTTTTGATGACAGTTTCTTCTCATGCTCTTCATCTTCAAGTAGTTTTACAAGTGCGGATAGTGAGTTACCTTTAACTTTGTATGACCAGATTTCATCCCTGCGCTCTAAATTTCCTAACAACTTTAATGTTGCACACATTAACATCCAGAGTGTTCCTCGTCATTATCCTGATCTTCTAGCATCAATTAACAGTGCACATCTCGATGATTTACTAATTTCTGAGTCATTTCTCAAGCCATCACTCCCCTCTACACAGTTTGCCTTACCTGGTTTTGTCCTTATTCGTAATGATCGTATAGGAAAAGGTTGTGGTGGGATAGCTATATACCTGCGTTCGGATATATTTTATAAGACCGTATGTGCCTCTCCTTCTATTTGCTCTCAATCTGCTGAATATCTCTTTACAGAAGTTACTCTCAATCATGTAAAAATGTTGCTGGCGGTATTTTACAGTCCTAACATGCACATAGATTACTTTGATACGCTTGAAAAAATCCTTGCTGATTTTAGTACTACTTACGATCATATTATTCTTATGGGAGATTTCAACACCTGCCTTATTAAAAATGATTATCGCTCCCAAAAACTTCTGACTTTGGTATCTTCCTTCAATCTTCACACTCTCCCCCTTCAGGCAACTCAACACTCCCCCTAACTGTAACCCTTCTTTGCTTGATATTATGATCGTTTCTTCTCCTGATAGTGTCATGTCTCATGGACAAATAACTGCCTGTTTTTCATATCATGATTTAATCTACCTCTCTTATCGTCTCTGTCCACCTAAAAAGAAATCCCAATCCTTGTTCCTTCGTAATTACAAGGGAATAGATCTGGAGTCATTGCAGCGTGATATAAGTAATGTTGATTGGACACCTTTTGTTGACAATACTAATATTAATGAGAAGGTTTGTAACTTTAATGATATAATTTTGAAGGTATACAATAACCATGCCCCGCACAAACGCGTAAAAATAAAGTGTAATCCTGCACCATGGATTACACAAGATATAAAAGAACTTATGGGCCAGAGGGACAAAGCTAAGCAAAGGTTTAAACGTCTCCCATCTGAAAATAACTTAAATCGTTTTAAATTTTTACGCAACCGCTGCAGTCGCTTGTGTCGGTATGCTAAAAGACGCTACTTTTACAACTCTCTCCATAATAAAAATTCTACTGAGATGTGGAAGTTCCTTCATTCTATTGGTATGGGCAGGTCTCCGATCCTAGAATACAATGACGTTAAAGCAAAGGATCTAAACAATCACTTTGCTACTCCTCCTATGACTTTAGATCCTTACATCAAATCCAACACACTACTCGCATTGGCGGGTATACCGAAACCGCACGTTTGCCCTTTTCATCCCTTGTAACGGAGGAAGATGTCAAAAAATCCATCCTAGCCATCTCTTCAAATGCTGTTGGTATTGATGGTCTATGCACGAAGATGATTTTGCTAGTTCTACCTTTACTTCTACCAATTCTTACTCACATATTTAATTTTTCTATATCGTCATCATCTTTTCCTTCAGTTTGGAAACAAGCATATGTAATTACTCTGCCTAAGGTTTCTAATCCTTCTTCTTTGTCCCACTTTCGTCCCATATCTATTTTACCCTTTCTTTCTAAAGTTCTGGAACACATCATCCATAGTCAACTCTCTCTCTTCTTATCGTCTAACTCCTTGCTCTCCACTTATCAGTCGGGCTTTTGTCGTGGACACAGCACTTTCACTGCTTTACTTAAAGTAACCGATGATATCCGTTGGGCCATGGACAATAAATCTCTTACACTTTTAGTTTTGCTTGACTTTAGTAGTGCTTTTACCTCAGTAGACTTTGATATTCTTCTCCGGATCCTGTAATCTATAAACATTTTCCCATCTGTCATCGCATGGTTTGATTCAAATCTTCGTGGTCGATCACATTGTGTCCGTATTAATGACACTCTTTCCGATTGGTCTGGTATCACTACGGGTGTACCTCGGGGTGGCGTTCTTTCCCCCTTTTATTTTTTATATTTATTAACTCTATTACGAGTGTTATTACATCTAATTACCATCTCTACGCGGATGACTTACAGCTTTATCGTCATTTTCCGGTGGGTGATACAAATAATGCAATTGCAGCTATTAATGCGGATCTGATCCGCATCTGTGAATGGTCTGCATCCTTCGGACTATTAGTTAATCCCACGAAATCTCAGGCCATCATAATAGGCAGTAGGCATTTGCGTAATAGATTAGAATTTACATCACTACCTTTTGTTTGTTTTAATGGCGTTCCTATACCCTTTGCCAATACTGTCAAAAACTTAGGCGTCATATTTGATCACCATTTAACATGGACCACGCATATCGCTGAAGTTAGTCGCAAGGTCTACTTTACTTTGCATTCGCTTAAATGTCTACAAAATTGCTTACCCCTTAAAGCTAAAATATCACTCGTGCTTACTCTTATCCTACCTCTCCTTGATTATGCGGATGCCTGTTATTTGGATGCTACAGAGGAGCTTCTTAATAAACTTGAGCGCTTTCAAAATCAGTGTATCCGTTTTATATTTGGGCTCAAGAAATTTGACCGTATATCTCAGTTTCGTAAGCAACTCAAGTGGCTCCCGATACGACTTCGAAGGAACACTCGATTGTTATGTCTCCTCTATAATATTTTGCACAACCCTTCCTCTCCCACATACCTCAGAAGCCGATTTTCCTTCACCCATCCTCCGGACAAACCATGCAGATCCCTTGTTAAAAATCTTCTTGACTTTCCCGTCTATAATTCCGGTTTTTACTCCCACTCCTTTTCAGTTCACGCGGTAAGATTATGGAACTCACTACCGTCAAATATAAGAAATTCCGAAACTTTGTTGGTATTCAAGAAACGTCTTAGAGATAACTACTTTGCATCCTGTTAATTTATATATATTATTCTATTACATTAGTTTTAGTTTATATATACTCGTATGTAACTATCGTATTTATTATTATTATTATTTATTGATTTACTTTATTTTTATTTATTGTTTTATTTTATATAATTTACGTAACATTGTGTATATTATTTATTTTTAGTAGTACGAATGTGTGCACTAAGTTTGCAATTTCAATATAATTTCTTTTATGGGTCTACTGGAAGATATTTCAGCTAATTTGGAATAAGTAGAACCTTTGTACGTAATTACTATAAGACTGTTTCTGTATCTTAATGTGTGTACATAAAATAAATTTAAAAAAAAACACTAATTTTATGTAGGCCTATTCGCTAACTTCGTTGCCATCAAAATAATAGTCTCTTTAAAGTACAAAAACCGTAAGATATCATGGTAATACATGAATTGGCCGTAAATGTGATGGCAAATGTGATTCTTTATGTTTTTAAACATTTATTAAGAACGTGTGGATGAATCCTAAGCTATATAATAAACTTTTAACAAAAAGTGAAATTCTTTATGTTTTTAAACATTTATTAAAAACGTTGGATGAATCCTAAACTATATAATAAACTTTTAACAAAAAAAAATAACAAAAAGTATTTTCTACACTTAGAGGTGGAATTTTTTCTCTAAATTTATTTGAGTGGTCCCATTGAAGTAAAACCTATTTAATAAAAAACAATTATCAAAATTGGTCCACAGTCTGCGAAGATATCGCGTATATCATCGTATATCGCGTAATACATGCAAAAAAACATACATTCGTTAGAATTAGAAATTGATTCGAGCATGCGGCTCACCTTTTGGTAAGTGATTATCGCTGCCTATGAAGAACCGCAACACCAGAGGAATTTAAGGTGTGTTGCCGGCCTTTTAGAAAGGAATAAGCACTTTTTTTTAAGGTTCCTAAGTCGTGTCGGTCCGGAAAAATCGCTGATGGTAAACTATTCTACAGAGAAGCTGTACGAGGAAGGATGTGCGTTCGTGAAATTTGGCGGCTGGAATCAATCCGAACAATTCCTCATTCAGCACACCTCGTAGTAGATGCGATAGAAAAAGCAAATGAAAGGAAACCCGATTGAAGATTATATCAAAGTCCACTGCTAAACACAGACCTCAATAGTAAGTTAAAAAATAAAAATATTAAAGTGTAAATTTTATATCAATTTGTTTACCGTAGTATAACCAGGATGTAACAGGCGCAACGGCAGCGCCACAGGCAAGCAACTTGATGTCATCTTTTATCAGCATCATAGTTGTGGCGTAACCGCCGTAGCTCCAGCCCCATACACCGATGCGTTCCGGGTCGATGAATGGATACAGACCAATCAAGCGTCTAGGGGCAAATAACAAAGATTTTTGTATCCTTTTATTAACGTTATAAACGAGTAAAAATTCTACAATATCATGATTATGATCATCATCACCACGATCATCATCATCTTAAGTACAGCACACAAGTTCCCTAATAAGCATAGGCCTCCCCCAAGGAATACCACAAAATACGGAGCTTTCTTTTTATTTACATGTGGAAATACCTACGCATACCAGCCCCGCTAGCGCAAGGACGGGTTATGTCGGACACGCAACGACTAAAACCCATGGTGTTTCCCCTGCGCTGCGTATTAGAAGGGCCACCAGAATGCTTTCGCACACATCCGGCGCTAGCCACCCCATGAAAGACCCTCCGAGAGGGAGGAAAACTTCTCGCCCATCTCCTGCTCAGGTAAGGCGCATCTTCCTGCGCGGCTTCAAACTTCAACTGCGCAACGGACGACAAATGGTCGATGCAGGTACAAAATACGGACCTAAGTGGCCTGCATCGACTTTCTGCATATCTTACAACCTAACTGAGATAGAGAGAGCGGGAGAGAACCATGGTAGCTCAGATAGTTAGCGCTCGCTGTAAATTTCACAGCACGCGAGCAATCCGGGTTCGATCCCTGCCAACACCAATGGAATTGTTAATTGCGATTTTAAGTGGTGATTTACCACGTGCTCGGCAGTGAATGAAAACATCGTGAGAAAACCTGCGTGTCTGAGAAATAAAATAAAAAAATATGTTTCAAAGACACGTGAAGTTCGCCAACACGCATTGGGGCAGCACGGCCTACACTTCCTCGTCCTAAAACCCTCCCAGAAATGGAGGAGGCCTATTCCCAGCACTGGGACGTATATAGGCTTTAACTTTACAACCTAATCAGGCCGTTACTCAACTGAAGGGTTATGGCGCCTTATACTTCGCTTACCGGTACGAGGCTGCCACTCGAGAACCTTTTTTCACATGGGTTTTCAGTTCTTCGAACTATATGACTGACCCATTGCCACTTCATTGTACTGATCTATTGGACTAAGTCGGTTAGACTAGTTCCACTGAGGATTGTATTTTCATTTTGAATTCTATTACGCAAAGAAACTCCCAGCATAGTCCTCTCCATCGGTCGCGTCAATGAAGAACGACGTCTCAGGTTCATATATCATTCATAGGCAACACGCATTGGTTTGATATTTATAGTTTCCAAGTTTCGAAGAATATGTGACGAGAAGATGTTTCCTAAACTCCCCAAGATGCCTAGCCGAGTTGGATCCGTTATTTGACCTCTCGGTCGAATTTGGAACGCAGATTAAATAATAGTTACTACGTAAGTTAGACTTGAGCTAGAAAATTTTAATAAATAGCTAATGCAAGCAATTGACACTTGCAAGGTATAATTAATATAATTATACTAGCTTACTTATCTTTCCAAACGCAATACTGTAGAGGGTGTAATTAATGTAATTTTACTTTTACGACACCCAGTACGATATGAAGTAGGGTTATCTCACACCGCCATTACAAAGCGTAATAAATGAACAGTAATTTATTAATTATATCAGCAAATCTTATTTATATCTCTTATTTCATTCTTATACACCATAATCTTATTTACTATAACATAAGCGAAAGAAAAGGAATAAAAATCAAAAAATAATAAGAAGAAAAAAGCATTAGTTTGGATTGATAACAGAATATATATATATAAGCAGTTATTAAAGTAGCAGTACATACTCTAGCGCATCCAAAGTGTCGGTTATTTCAACTGTGCCCAGTGCGTTGTTGACGGCGTGCATTGCCTCCACCCCCATCACACCAGATCCTCTTACGTCTATTGATGCCACTATAAAGCTTCTATTAGTCGATAGATATGAGGTGTAGTACTCTGTGGAAAATATTCGTTCGATTTTCATTTCAAATAAAAAGGCGAATGTTTAATACGAGAGCGAAAGTTAGGCTGAGTTTTGATGTAATTTTTTGAATATATATATTTAACTGGCGATCCGCCCCGGCTTTCCCCGGGTGATTTCTGGATCTCGAAAACAGCGCCACCTATCGGGTCCAATTGAGTTTTTAAATCACCCTCTCAAATACACACAAAAAAAATCAAAATCGTTCGAGCCGTTCTCTAGTGTTAGCGAAACTTACGGACATCAGGTGAGTTTTATATATTATGTCGTAGGATAATGAGATAAACCGAATTTTCCGCAAAAATCTAGAGATATCGCGAAAACACGGATAATTAGACGATTGGTCGAATCTGTTCTAAGACCGAATCAGCACGCCCCGACTTCACGTAGTCTTGTCTGCCCTACCCCTAGAGAGTTTTTGTAAAGACGTCGGCGTGAAGGGAGAGGGTGCCTGCGATTTGCTACGCAAGGGCAAAGGGGCTTCACTTCATGGAACACTGAAGCTGTTACAAAAGTAACTTTGGGTCAATACCCATATGTAAAAAGTGAGGTTATGATTTTAAAAAAAATCATTACTCATAAACTATACGCCTATAAACCAAAATCAAGCCAATCAGAGTTAAGTATATTCAAAGTTTTTACAACGTTATCTTAATTTTAACCCCTAATTTTTTTTCACAAAGATTGAGAAATGATTTCTTATATTTACGCGAACACTATACATTGAAATAATACTAGTTTTTACGGAATTTATCGCGTATATTTAACTTTTTAAATACCCGACGTTTCGAAAGCTTTACAGCACCTATGTTCATGGGGGGGACTGAGATGTTCAACGTCCAGATGTCATAGTTAACCGCGGTTACCATAGATTAAAATTTAACTTTTGTTCCGATCTACACAGTATGAACTTATGGTATCATGAAGTCTTGCAGTTGTATGCTTGGGTTGTGATTTAATTTTATTTATTATAAGATCCCAAGCAGATGGTAGCACCCAGCCATCTTCTCTATTGAAATTGGGATGTTTTTTGATTTCAATAGCCTCGCGAATCATCCTTGGAAGGAATCGGTGTTCTATAGCGAGGATTTGTGGTCTATCAAATCTGATGTAGTGACGGGGGTGATCCTGTACGTGTTCACAGACTGCAGACTTCCCTGAGCGTCGATTCTTCACATCAGCTATATGTTATGTATAAGATACGTACTATCTGACAAAAAAATAAACAGTTATCGCTCGCACATACACATTTTAATATACGAGGTTCTCCTTTTAGAACACGATTCATTTTATAAATATTTAACTACATTTTATAATTCTTAATTAAATTTTAGGGCTTACTAATCAAAATGTATTCGTTAGTGGCGTCATTCTAAAACGAAAGTTTAAAATGAGCGAACTTAATGCCTTAGCTTACTATTCTGTGTTCTGTAGCATTTCTGCCAATCAGCACTGGGAAGGAAAGTTGGTCACAGTAAATAATAAAAATGTCCTCCAGGCCGAAATTCGGTCCGGCGGCCTGCCTCTACGGAGACTAACTATAGGCGCAGAACAGGATTATAGTGCCTAAGTGTATGCGCAAGCACAGGTGCATTCTCTATTCCCTCACTCTCATAATTCGATTTGACGGTAAACTGACACAACCAAAGAGAGAATAGGCGCAGGACCCACGGCTTAACGTGCTTTTCGAGGCACGGGGGTGAAACACTGCTAACTTCCTGACTCCGGGCAGCTACTAAATATTCCTCGACGGAAAAACTCAATAAATGATTTTTGGCTCGACCCGGGATTCGAACCTAGGAGATGCACTTCTACAACTACTATACCAACGAGGCCGTCGGTCATTAAAAAGCTTATTAAAATATGACTAGAATTCGAATTTTCGAGCGCTTTTAACTAGTAAAGGTATTTTGCATGTCATGCGTACACAGTAGCGCGCCGATCAAATTTTATTATTTGATTCTTTATATACTACAGCTGATTTCTTATACTAATATTACAAAGAAGTCTAAATAGATACCTAGACTAAAGACATCCTTAACCCTGGTGGAGCCAGGACCTGCGTACACTCTCAACACCATTGGATATTTCCTTCCCTCCTCCATCTCGGGTGGGAGCATTAAATTAATATGAGCCACGACATCTTCACCTAACGAGATAGAGTTGAAAAGAGACATTGGATGTTTATATTGTTGTAATTTTTCGTTCAATTCATTGTTATACACGATAATTTTAAGGCCATTCGTCTGAAATTAAAAGAATTATTTAGGAAACACATACTTTGAGAAAGTAAAATAGATTAATCTAAAACAGTTTTACCTGACCGTTGTACAAGTATGTAACTGGCGGCATATTACTGGAACTACAAGAAATTATACCAAAACTAGCGCCGGGGGAAAACATGGCGTCAACATTATGACATGAGGCATCTCTGCAGGATATGCATCGATCGACTCCTTGTGATGTAGACCACAATTGCCTTTCCCAAGGCCGATCAAAAGGCGATAAAATATAGTACATTGTATCCGTTTCCTCATTCCACCCAACAATGGACGTGACCGTGGAATTTCCAGGACTGAGGTCTTCAGTTGTCAAAGAGTTCAAATCGAAACGAGCTGCGTGTAAAAACCTCCGATCATTGTAGAACAAAGGTTGTATTTCCAGCATCTTCGTACCTGCGCTGTTAAAGAAAGCTTCTTGGATATCAACCCAGCCGTTTCTTTCAGTTTGTTCCTTTACTATACTGCATTTGTTTTCAACCAGGTCACAATTGAGCAGAATGCTAACGTTTTGTCTTCTGTTCAGCCACAGAACAATTAAATTTTGATCGGTTGCCCAATTCACTCTGCCTAGTATATGATCCAATCCAATCACATCTACTGGAGCGGGTATAACACATGGTTCGCTTGTCAAGTTGTTTAAATTGAAAACACGGAGGCTAACAACTGGATTAGTGCGGCCTACCTGACGACAAATAATATTAATAATATATATTAAGGCAATCCAAATCACACGTACAACGTGGTAGAGCCATGCTGCAGTTATATTAATTGTAGCACGAATGGGTCGGCTCGATCTAAGTAGGACCACGCTCTCACGTTTCGTATGGTGAGTGTAGAGAACCGTAGACCCTTTTTACCGGAAACGAGGCATTTCATCTTAGTCCTCACGGGTGACAACTCATCTGCATTTAGATTCGTAATCTAGGATAGATGTAGATAGCCGCAGTAACCACCTGCCATCAGGAGGACTGTGTGCTTGTTTGTCACACTATCCTATAAAAAAACTCTAAAATATTGCTTAAACTTTTTAACTCTGGACTGCTTTTCTACCTAGGAGTCAGTCCGGGTAGGTACTACAACCCTCTTAGTCTTAGTTATTTCTAACGTCAAACAGAAGTATTTACATACTGCCGTGCTCCGGTCTATAGGATATGGAGAGTGACAATCGAAAAATAGCAATTAATTGCTGCCGTGTTTCATATGGTTAGTGTAGAAAACTGGAGAACCTTTTTACTGGAAACGGTGCATTCCATCTTAGTCCTCATGGGTGACAACTCTTCTGTGTTGATTCTTAATCGAGAATAAACGTAGAAGTCTATGGGCCAAAGTATCCTTACTATAAGGTGGACTGTGTACTCGTTTAGTCACCCTTATTCTATAAAAAAGCCAGATGAAGTATTAATATCATAGAAAGAACTATTGAATAGGATGTTGATGATTATCTTTGTATTAATATATTTTAATAATCGAGATTGGTATATGTATAGACGACATAGCCTGGGACTGAGTAAAGTTACAGCCTATATACGTCCCAATGCTGGGCACAGGCCTCCTCTCATTTCTGAGAGGGTTTTAGGGCAAGGAAGTGTCCGCCGCGCTGCCCCAATGCGTGTTGGCGAACTTCACATGTCTAGGAAATATTTTATTTTTATTTCTCAGACATGCAGGTTTCCTCACGATGTTTTCCTTCACCGCGGAGCACGTGGTAAATCAGCACTTAAAATTGCAATTAACAATTTCATTGGTGCCGGCGGGTATCGAACCCGGGTTACTCGCGTTCTGTTATATTTACAGCGAGCGTTAACCATCTGAGCTACCACGGCTCTTAGTAACAATTGTATTTTGAATAAAACTATTTATACGGATTTTATCGCATTTTATTAACTTATTTTTAATGATGGCAAATAATCTTACGCTCAACAGATGTCGCTAGTTGACATTGAGGTTAAGTTTTTAGTTACACAATGTCATTTAATTGATGATTTAGTTTTTAAGACGACACATCGAAAATGTGGCTCCAGGCTATCGCCGTACTGATCCGAGTGAGTACATAATTTCTATAAAAACTTGAAGAAACGCCGTCATAAGGTCTAAAATTGCGTAGCGCCCGCGACGAATAAAACCGCTTAGAAATTGTCAGAATCTTAAAATATTTAAAAAAAGATTTAAGTAATCAAAATAATGAGCAAGTGAATTATGAATATTGATGTTATGAATATATTTGAGTGATTCCATACAGATTAAGTAATTTCGTTGTAATTTCAACTATAGCGATTTTTAGAGGTGTTTTCGCAAATAATTATGATGGAGTCAAAATTATACAATCGCGTTTTTGAACAATCAAATTCAAGATAAAGACATGAATTTACCTATATCAAAATTCCACTTTCGTTAGTGGTGTCATAGTCCTATACTATTCGATGAAAGGAGGTGCATTTTTTCGCGGTGTCGCCTTAATAAAAGTTTACCAGTTTCTAAAGTATTTATTATATTAATACACAAAACAATGCCTCTGTGGTTTGTTATTTAATTCCTTGCACATTTTTAATACATTTTTGATTTTTCTATTTTTATGAAAATCTGTGGTTTGGTTTATTTATTTTTAATATAATTAATACAAAATATAACTAATGGTACAGAAAGAAACATTAGCTTTTACATTTTTTGAACAAATTAACTTCCCCACTATGATATCTGTCAAATGTTACACCTCATTTTATGTGGATGCCCTCATTTCCGACGTTTCGGGTGCTTTACAGCACCCATAGTCACGGGGTACTGAAATTTTTGACGTCCCAATGTCATATTTAGCCTGGCTACCTTCTGTTTATTAATTTTAATTTTTGCTCCGATCTATGCCCAACGAGCTTAGAGTATCTTGAAGTCTGACGGTGGTATGCTTGGGTTTGGATTTAGTTTTGTTAGTAATAGGATCCCAAGCAGATAGCAGCACCTATCCATCTTCTCTATTGAAATAAGAATGCTTTTTAATTTCAGTAGCCTCACGTATTATCAGTGGTAGTAATCGATGTTCTTTCGCGAGGATTTGTGGTTTATCAAATCTGATGTAATGGTGGGGACGATTTTGAACGTGTTCACAGACTGCAGACTTCCCGGAGCGTCCGTGCTTCACGTCAAAAATAAGTTAATTAAACGCGATAAAATCCATATAAATAGTTTTAATCAAGGTGTAGTGTTCGTGTAAATATAAGAAATCATTATAACAATTGCACTGTTCAGTGAAATCTATTTAAAAACATATATATATACTAGCTTGCCAGGCAGACGTTGTTCTGCCCTTTTCGACGACCCTTTGTCATGTCCTGTTAAAAATCCTTAAATTTGCAAAAAAAAATTGTCACTCATGGGCAAAAAAAAACTATCCTATCTCTCAAGTTGGACCAAACTGCACACGGTGTGCAAATTTGATTAAAATCGGTTAAGTAGTTTAGGAGTCCATCGCGGACAAACAACGTGACACGTAATTTATATATATATATATATATATATATATATATATATATATATATATATATATATATATATATATATATATATAATATGTAACGTAATTAACGCAAACCCTCAGACACCCCAATTAGTATATTATGTTATAATCATAATACATTCACTGAATTTTAGCAAAACATTTTTATGCACTGATTATTTATCAAATTGGTTATACTATTTCCGGAAGAATGTTGTGGTCACAGTACAAATCCATGAACGCAAAGACTTTAACGTGCTTGAAATAAAGTTAATTTTTCTTTATTTTTATTGAATGATAGAATTAGTAATAATACAAATAAAACTGCACTCTTAAAAGTCTTATTGCCTTAAGTTACGGTCCATTTCAGTTTGTTTTGACTGTACATATTTAGAGTGACTGTAATTTACATAGTTTTAATTATTTTTGGGATAAAAAATTACCTATATTAAAAATGATAGGAATCGATTCAGTAAACGATTCTGAACAAATTACTTTCTCAAAGTGCGTTAATTATGTTACGTGATGTATATATATATATATATATATATATATATATTTATGTTACCAACCTTTGGATATTTGAACTGAATCAACTGCGGATATTGGTTGTCGAGATCACTCGTGCTGCCGTAGTAGGGGTATATAGCCGACTCCACGTGTCGGTCATCGAAGGAAGCAACCACAAGATATGTACCGTTGGGTGAAAACCACAGAGCCTCTGCCGCATTGAAGACCTCCTCTAAAATTATACATTAATTTTATTATAAAATAACAAGGTATTAAACGAAGTTAAAGACGATAAGAAAAAAATACATTCTATAAACTTTTTATCATTAAACGCTTAGTTGGACTTTAAAGGAAGCCGAGCAAAGGAGTAGAGAGCGATCCTTCAAAGAAATTGCAAACACTTTTTTTTTGCAGACCTATTTTTCTTTAACGAAGAACCCGTTTAAAACATCGTCATATTAAGTTTTGAAATAATCTAGAACATTTGCGTCGTAAACAACTTTTTTTAAATCGTACATTTAATTAACAGTAATTTTAAAAAAGTATTTATAAAATGCACAAATAAAAACTAAAACCTTTGACTATCTTAACAAAATTTGTTGCGACACATTAGTATTATATTATAATAGCAACATATAATTTGTAAAGGTATGAATTTATAATATAATAATTTAAAATTAAATCTAACTAAAAGTTACAACACAAATTTTTAATTTCACATTACTACACAAAATATTTTTAAAAAAAACTAAATGAAATGAAAACTAAAACTAAATTTCAATTCTTTTACAGTCCTACTCCCCGTGGTATCGTACCAAGAACGCTGGCTGCGTTTCTTCGATGAATGGCTATACTAAGCCTTTGAGCGAGAAAAGAACCAGCCCTATTATCACGAGCAGCGACGTCCAGTCGGGGAAACAGTTCCTTTAGAAAATTCACCGTATGTGGACCCCACGGACCGAAAGTCTCTACAGCAAATAGCACAAATATGTGTTATATAAATATAAATATTTAACAGTGGTAGAGCCACGCGGCAGCTTTGCTGTTGCACGTATGGGCCGGCTCAAACCGGGGTGGTACCACGACCTCACAGAATACCGGCGTGATGTGGAAGCTCTGCTTCGGCGTCTCGTCTGGTGAGTGCAGGTGGCCGGAGGCCCAAATCCCCCCTCCCCCCATCAACATGGTATGTGGTTATTTCTCAAAGACTCATATTTGCGTCACTTACTTAATTTAGCTGCCTCTGTAACCGCCCTGGCTTTAAAAGAGTTACCCTTGAGATGAAAGGCTGCCAAAGTGTCTACGCAAGTAGCATCCCACACTAAGGCACTACCTCTCTCGCAAAGGACCAAAGTCATACCGTCGGGTCTCTTGCCATCTTCTCTAAATATCCCGCAACGCGCTAAAATCGAACATTTAAAGAGACAAGAGCCCTTCGGATAACTTTGTTCAAGGAATCGTGACGGGAAAACCTACCTGCATTTTTCTTACATAAAAGTCCGTGGAGCCCAAACTCATCGACGCTGCTACCACAGGGGCAATAGTGAGTTGACAAATTGCCGCTCTTAGACGGATTCAATACCTAAGCAGTTAATAATTTTGTTTTATGAATTTTCGCAGCAAATTTTACAACCAACAGTTTTATACGTGCTGGAGCCATATTATGGTTGTAGCACGAAAGGTTCGGCTAGACCGGGGAAGGACCATGCTCTCACCGAATACCAGCGTAAAATAGCTGCTTGATGCTGCTGTGTTTCGTATGGTGAGTGTAGAGAACCAAAGACCCGCTTTACTGGAATTGAGGAATTCTATCTTAGTCCTCAGGGGTGACAACATCTACATTTTGATTCATAATCGAGGTTAAATGTAAATGTCTATAGGCCACAGCATCCACTTACCATCAGGTGGACTGTCGGGTCTGTCACCCAATTCTATAATAAGAAAACAACTGGACCAAGCGAGTAACATCATGTTAAACACATATTATATGCAACTAAACGCCGTTTAATTTAAAATTGGATCGTATATATATAATTTCAACATTTACCTTCATATATCCAATCCGTAGCGCCATTATACAATTCCCCTGGGATACCGTCGGTTGTTAGCGCAGCAACTATATCGGGTCGGGTAACATTGGGAACATAATACACGTTATTGTTTTCAACATAGGCAAGAGCGCATCCACTCCCCCACACTGCCACTTGTGTCGGTCCTTGTCCTATTTTAGAAATGGACCTTAAAACATGGAAAGAGAGGTTAGCTTTAAACTTCATTATCATGCGTTAGCAAATTTATATTTACAAGTTGTAATAAATATTATTATTAAACCAATATTACTATAAATTAAATTTTTCTTGGAAACTGCTCTAGATTTTCAAATTAAAAATTTCTCTTGCATTTTATTTTGATTTTTATAAATTATAACGTAAGGATTCCAATTTCAAAAGTTCCAAGTACGGCTCTTACAAATGCTACAACAAGTACTAGAGTCCAAAAGAGTCAAGCTTCGACAAATAGTACAACTAGGATCAGAGTCGAATTTCGACAAAATAAAAATAATGTGTACCTATTTATTACCATTAAAAATCCTGAAGATTATTATTATTATTTGTATAGCTATTCACATTCTATCGAAGTGTATGGCAGCTCTCCAACTGGAGGAAGTGACGAACTGGTAAGACATGGAGGAAGTCGATGGATGTAGGTGGCTCAGGACTGTGCTTTGTGGTATTCCTTGGGGGAGGCCTTTGTTCAGCAGAGGACTTACGAAGAGCTGTAATGATGATGATGATGATGGTGGTGGTGGTGGTTGTGGTGTTGGTGGTGGTGGTGGCTAGGGTGGTGATGATTGTGGTTGTGATGATCATGACCATTCCTTAAAAGTAAGACACATCTTACTCTCACAGAGTCACCTTCATAGATAAAAGTAACGTTACAGCCTGTATACGTCTCACTGTTGGGCACAGACCTCTCATTGTGTCTAATTTCTGCGCCTTATAGATATCGATTGCACAAATGCACATTGATCATGAAGATCTTTCAATATTGAAAACATCCGGATATTACTGGAACATACTAAATATACAGTATGTAAAATATCCCTTATCTACCAGTGTGTGTCGTGAGCGGCGACCGAGGGAAACTGAAGCAGGAATTGTGAAGTAGCATCTTTCTGATGACAGTGGTAGAGCCACATGGCAGACTTTGCTGTTGCACGTATTGGCTGGCTCGAACCGGAGTGGTACCACGACATCACAGAAGACCAGCGTGAAGTAGAAGCTCAGCTTCTGCATTTCGTCTAGTGAGTGAAGGTGGCCGAAAGCCCAGTTCCCCCTCCCCCGTCTTAACACGGTAGTGGAGTTTATAGATTTTTCTGCACCGATACGACTTAGGAACCCTCAAGAAAAGAGGCTACTCCTTTTTAATATGCCGGCAACGCATCTGCGATTCCCCTGGTGTTGCAGTTGTTCATGAGCCGGGGGTAATCATTTACCATCAAGTGAGCCGGATGCTCGTTTGCCTATAAAAAAACTCACATATCTATCGTATCCCCTATTAAAAAAAAAACTTCAAAATAGTAAGCAACTGCAGTTGCCAACCCGCGTGCCAAACCCACACGGCACCTATGGCAAAATCTCCCATATGAAGTAATCTATATTCAGCAGTAGACTTTTATATGTATTTAATATAATAGATGTAATGGAATATTTTTGCACTTGTAAACGTTCTCTGCAAATGCCTACCCCAAATATAAGCAACCGACTAATAAAGGAGAATGCATTCAACGATGTCCGTGAATACCGCGCTCGAACACGATTTAACAAATTTTAAAATCGAAAGTAAATTTAATATCCTTAAACTAGTATTTACTTCATCTTAAAGGAAAACAATCAATTAAAAATTAGCAATGTAGCAGTTTAGAAAAGTATCTTAAAATGAAATACCAAAATTCTTGCATATTTAAGTTAAAATATCACAATTACTGTGAAATTAATCCGTAAAGAATAAATATAAAACGACTGATAAAGGTTCGATAAATAATGTTTGAATTGAATAAAATTGCATTTTCTCAACACCTTTTTAGCAAGAGAAAATCCCTAAGAGTACTCATTTTTGTCATTATTTGCAAAATTTCTCCATAACGGAACACGGTATTTAGTTAGTTTTTACACAAAAAGGGTCTTAAATATATTTTAAATTTATAGTTTTAAAATGGTGAATAAAAATATATATTTTTATATTAGTAAAAATATCAATAAATAAAAACACTTCTACAAAATGATCATAAACTATCAGTTTATTTTAGTATATTAAATGCATAAAATTCAAACCGTAACTGTTTCTAAACGATGTTGAAATGGTTCAATATATTATAAACATAACATGAATGATAAAGATATTTATCTAAAATATAGTTATTGCGATAAAAGAATGGTAAGAGTTTCAGGTAAGATATTAAGTAGAATAAATTGTTAATAAAATTAGGTTCTATTGAACTTTTTTAGAAAAAGCAATTTTTTCGTTTATTTTAAGAAGTTCAAAACAAATTAAGCAAGAAGTTAATAATGGAAGCCTTCTTGTAGACCTCTGGCTGCTACCTATATCGCCAATAGTTCCAAAACGTTTTTAAACGTTATAAAGTTAACAGCTAATAATTATTGATTAAAACTACTTTTACGGATTTTATCGCGTTTTATTTATTTTATTTTTAATACCCGACGTTTCGGATGCTTTCCAGCACCCATGGTCATGGGGGACTGAGGTGACTGACGTCGCGATGTCAAAGTTAAAACGGAGTTCCTTCAGCTTTTTTAATTATTGTCTTTGGTCGGATCATTTTGAAGTCTTGCAAAACACAGTTAGTTCATTTTGTGTAGATCGGACCAAAGACAATAATTAAAAAGATGAAGGTACTCCGTGTTAACTTTGACATCGCGACGTCAGTCACCTCAGTCCCCCGTGACCATGGGTGCTGGGAAGCACCCGAAACGTCGGGTATTAAAAATAAAATAAAACGCGATAAAATCCGTAAAAGTAGTTTTAATCAATGTGTAGTGTTCGCGTAAATATGAGAAATCATTGCTGATAATTATTCTTGAGTCGTGAATTTTTACATACATAAATTGCAGATGGGCATACATCTGGGCGCAAATCAATTCTATAGGCCTTACAAATAGTATTCCATGCGGTTTTCGAACCCACAACCTAAAGCATCGTTGCGTAACTCAGCCGCAGCGCTGTTGTGACGTCAATTACTTAGTGGCTTAGTGACTTTGCATTGAGTTGCGGCGCTGAGAGACGCGGGTTCGAAACCGGCACGAAACAAATATTTGTATAGCCTATAAATAATTGTTCCGAATCTGGATGTATGTCCTTGAGTTTATGTTTGTAAACTACGATACAGGAAGAGATCCTAGTGTGGGGCAACGTTTATCTAAGCTCCTGGTAGCCGGATAGAGCTTGCTGTAAATGTCACAGAACGCGAGTAATCCGGGATTGATCCTCGCCGGCACCAATGAAACATCGTGCAGGAACCTGAATGTCCGAGAAATAAGAACCAAGTTCAAGAATTGAAGTTCGCCAACACGCATTGGACATCGCGGCGGACACTTCCTTGCCCTAAAACCCTATCAAATGTTAGAGGAGGCCCGCACCCAGCAGTGGGACGTACATAGGTTGCAACTTAAAACCGAAACTCTACACACCACACACACACACACACACACACAATGATAGGAAAATAGAAAAAAGAATACTTACAAACAAAAAGGAATATATATATATATATATATATATATATATATATATATATATACAGAATGGGTCCCACATATATGCAATAAATGAAACCATATACTTGTTATCGCCTTTGCTGACGATATACAAAAAATGAACGTAATCGGTCCAGTAATTAGGTCAAAAAGTAGAGTTTTAATTTTAAGCAAATTTGAACACTCTATAGAATTGGGTCACTAAGTCAATGATTCAATGAACTTGAATCCTTGAACATTAAAAAGCGACGTTGCCACGCAGTGCAAACTATTGGTATTGCGACATATCGACAGCGGTGTCTTTTGTCGGCGTGCCACCCGCGTGCAACGTTGTCACTCTTCCAAGGGGTCAAGGTACGTTGTCTAAACAGAGTGTTCACTTTTACTGAATTTATTTTAATATTTATTTTGTTTGAAAATTTCACTTTTTTTATTTTACGGGTTTTAATTTAATATTTAATTTTTCTACACTTCTACGGACTAGTATTACTTGTGGTTTCATTTATTGCATATATGTGGGACCCATTCTGTATATATATATATATATATATATATATATATATATATATATATATATATATATATTTCTAAGAATAGATATACATACTTATTTTTAATCTAAGTATTTACCCTCATTATCTTTACATTTCTGCCATCCCGAGGTAGGATCAATAAGTCTAGGAATCTAGACTACAAAGTCCAAGAAAGCATTTAGTACCGCCTTTTGAGAACAAGATTTTGTCAAGCGAACAAATATGCAGCCGTAAACTAATCTATCACCTTTGTTAAAATCGTTGTAGTAATTTTCAAAGAACCAACTACATATACAAATACTCAAACAAATATTACTTGCTTTAAATATACCGTGAAACTTCATCAACTTCAGAATCTGACTACAATATTTAAGAGAAGACGTTAATAAGATGTTCTGTATAAACTCACTTCAATTCGATATCGTACACCGAAATGTAAGCTAAAGCTGAGTATCGATATACCTGAAACAAAATTAAATAAACTATATAAATTTTTAATCATTAACACAAGGGCCTTCATAAAACCCGACTAATTGAAATTGACTGTACTTAATATTTATAAGCATCTGCGAAAGTAGGTAGCTACATATTTATTAGGTTTACCTTGACACTTAAATAAATGTCATTGCAAGTACGTACAGATTACGAGTATTAACATAATAACAAAACGATAGGTAAGGTTTTTAAAATCCATATTTATGATCTGATTTTATAGAATCTCAGAAGGCGTTTATACGTGGCGTACCCACGCTGCATCTGTATTACGGTTGTAGCACGAATAGGTAACGACGCCATTCCCTCTAAGTCCTCAGGGGTGACAACGCATTTGCATTTTGATTCTTAATTTAGGATAGCTGTAGATATTTATGGACAACATCATCCACTTACCATTCGGTGGACCGTCTGCTCGTTTGTCATTCTTATATTCTGTATAACAAAGCGAAGTGCAGGTAGATGACCCCCATTAGATGGAGTGACGACCTGATAAGACATGCAGGCAGTCGATGGATGTTAGTGGCTCATGACCCCGTTTTGTGGCACGTCCCTTGGGGGACGCATATGTTTAGCAAGGGACTTGTGAAAGACTATTTTATTGCTGAGGAAAAACAGAAGAAATCCATCCTAGCTTAGCTATGAACAGAATGATGCGATAAAATCGTATATAGAGAAATTTAGTTTTATTAGAATTATAATAAAATAATTTCCACGCCACTACGACGACCGCGTTTCTGAAAGCTGGGCTTTGCTCGTAATTAATCTAAACACTACGTTTTTTTTGTAGAAGTTGGATTTTAATTAAAAGTTAATTATTTTAACCTTTTGATTGGTCTAAAGAACATCACAACATGTTCAAGATAACAATGTCTTTTAAATAGGCATATTAAAATCTTTATCCCCCCATTTGTCCACACTTAGTAATGGAATTTTTCTTTATATTGGTACAGAACCCTGAATTATATATGACCTGTTTAATGAAATAAGTTTCCTTGAAGTAGGAGAAAATACAAAAAATTGACCTTCTCGCATTTTGAACTCAGTTAAAAACACAGGCACAATTACTATACAACTACAGCCAGACCCAAAAACAAACAATTTACTCAAGACCTTCATAGTCAGACACTTTCACTATTAGACAAGCGTTCGAACATTTGTAAAAAGCGCAAAAATGTTTGTTCCAATGAAATAAACGACAATTTGTGGGTTAAATAAGAAACTGAAATGGCCCAAATGTTTTTTTTTATTCCATGTGATTATGTTTTTTAGTTTTGTTCCAAATTAATAAAATTAATAAAACCAATATTCGAATGCGGAAAACTTGAGTTCGATTGGCGCCAGCGTAAGTCATAGTATAGTTGTTATTTACCAGGTGCCTTGACGGTAAAAGAAAACGTAAAACGAAACTTTAAACGAAAATTTAAAAACACTTGGATCCCCATTACATTAACATAATAAGGATAACATAAAATATGACAATTCACAGTGAAGTAGCGCGACGGACTCTTCCCACGTCTATAACAACACTATGAAAGGGAAGAAGTCATGTGCCCAGCATTGACACGTATATATAAGTACATAAAATAGCAAACTACTGCCCTTTTGTTCATTTACATCATTCTATGAAGAGTCTACTCCTTAACACGGACCGCCCTCATAAATTGCCACATAGTGGGAATATTTCCATTGTTGCCACGCTCGGTAGGCGGATATATAAACCCAGATTTTTATTATTTTTAGGTGTTAAGAGGAAGATCCTGCTGCCTGTTTCCTATTTGACTATTTCCATCTGTCGAATCTTACGACTCCAACGGAATGATTATCTTTTTTCATTACGGCGAATCTTCTATTACTTAGGCCCGATTTACATTTTGAGAAGTGACAAGTGTGAGTGACAAGTGAGAAGTGACAAGTGCGAGTGACAAGTGAGAAGTGACAAGTTCGTATTTTATTCCATTTATTCACTTGTCATTGCCTGTTCACACGCACTAAGCACTTGTTATTTGTTAGTTGCACTTGCCACTCGCACTTGTCACTTCTGAAAAGGTAAACCGGGCCTTAATCTTTTTCAATTGGTACCTATAATCCTAAAAAGTAATGAAATTCAAAGTGAATACGTACCTTCGTAACGTTAGTGGCGAGTAAAAAATATTTAAGGTCGTTAGAGTACGATGTAACTGCATAATGTTGCATGTTGTTCTGTGAACAAAAGATATTCAATTTAAATCTGCTGGATTGCTGCTACATTAACCTTCTAACAATGGTCTACATTGTTAGAAGGTTAATGTGACGGAAATTACTACCAAGCAGATAGACCGCGCTTTGCACCTATTCATAAATATATTACTTACGTCCTTTTGTTCTCTAATTAAATAGTCGTTCAAGTGCAGGCTTTACTTGTACTATCAATTCGTGTTTCATAACATCATCAACACTTTAATTATTACATTGTTCACAACAATTATTAGCAAATCTGTTGATTTAGGTCGATTTTTTTTATATAAAATTGAAGTAACAAACAAGCAGTAGGGGAGAACGGGGATGGTTCACTAAATTTCTATAAAGACGCTTGTATTTTCTTGATTTTAGTGTATATTATCGTAAAAACCATTACATACGATAGGTAAACTATTAAGCTTCTGAAAAATAATAACAAAAAGCTTGCCATCAATTATGAAGTGCACAAGCTTCGTTTTGTAGAACACGAAATACTAGTCAACTTACCCCACGGCCGGGGTTGGTTTACTTTTCAGCAGGGGTAAGTTGACCTATGGGAGAATCAGTACACATTATAGGAATAAATACGGTAAAAATATAAAGAGTATTCATAACTGACCCGAGGGCAAAGATGAGGTCTACGATGGAGCGAGTTTGCCCAGGAGAAGCCTGTTAACAAGCACCTCGAAGAGGTTCAGGTTATAGGCACTTGGATAAACAGACGCCGGCAGGACATTCAACTCCTTGGCTATGGGCATTATGAAAGATGACTAATAGCGCTTAAAGCAAATATTCGGAATATCAACCAAGTGTGAATGGTAACCTGCAGAACTTCTGATACTCCGACAGGAGAATAGAGGGGGCGGTATGAGCTTATGAAGCTCATGGAAACTCTCCGAAGTACAATCTGTAGAAGACTGACGTTACCGACTGGCTTATCGGCGACAAAAAGCTTGTGGAAACTAAGCTGTGAAGCTTAGTTTCCACAAACTTTTTGTCACCGCTAAGCCTCCTTGCTCTGCGTTGCACTTAGTCGAGAAAAATCCGTAAATACTAGTTTTATCGCAGTTTACTGCGTCGACTCATTGCGTTAACTCAAAATTTTCTAACGTGTATGTATAATATTTATTCGATACTATACTAAAACTACTGAATATGTTTTTATATTAAACAAGCACACAGTCCACCTGATGATAAGTAGATGATGTGGTCCACAGACATCTACATTTCTCTTCGATTAAGAATAAAAATGCAGACGTGTTGTTATCCCTGAGGACTAAGATGAAATCCCTCGTTTCCAGTAATAAGGGTCTCCGGTTCCCTACACTCATCGTAAGAAACACAGCAGCATTAAGCTGCTATTTTACACTGGTATTCTGTGAGAGCGTGGTCCTACCCCGGTCGAGCCTACCCATTCGTGCTACAACGTAAGTATCTAATTAAGATAGATAAAGTGTAAAAGTATGGCTTAAATGGTGTCTGACATTAATTTTCAGGAATTATTACTTTTACACCTATTCGCCAGAAGAGCTCACGTATAATTATAGTTATCGCGACGGCAGGATTATAACCTGCGCCCTACTTTTGCTTCGGCACGATCATTAGACAATGTTGAACTTTCAAATATTATGTTGCTTAATGCGACAAATCACAGACAAGTATAAAATAATAAATATTGTTGCCATCTGTACAATTATTGTGTCCATTATTACCTTAATTTTCGTATTAAATTGTATTTTGAAATACAATTAAGTATTTGTAAGGAGATAATATTCTACACTTTATCATGATAATAACATTTTTAACAACATCTAGTTGCATAACGAATCGCACTCGCTGTGAAACCTCCATTGTATAGAGACGAAAATTAAGCGTTTTGTAAATGTTAATTCCGATGTCTTCATCTCTCGACCAACACATCACAGGTGACAGTCATATGATTACCGACAAGAAATAGTACTTTAAATGTAAAATATTTTATCTTTTATAATAATTTTAAGGTTTAGGTGGCACTATTAAACAACAGAAGTTCAAGGTAAATTATACCTCCCCCGTTTGTCTTAAACAATAAGATCCCAGGTCGTAGTACTATTATTTATTCTGTGCACAGGTGAACTCGAACTCATTGTCAGAAAGAAAGGAATAATCACAATAAATCCGGCTCAAGAACAGAAAAGCAATTAATTGTATTAAATACACTGCAGCTTTTAAAATTTTTTGAAATTATTTAGAAGTTATCTGCAAACCTGTTGATTACACGCATACTTCTGATACACAGGATTCCTATTTCAGGAGCTAAGCCTCAATCGAAACCTGTGTATCATTTTTATAGGAGTTAAAAATAAAATTGTAACGCAATACTCGTATCTCCGAGGTATACTTTTGCAATAATCACATAAAATATAAATTTAAACCCGCTCCAAATTTAACTAAATTCAGTTTATATTTTATATGAATCGATTTATAGCAATGAATATCGTAATATAAATAGACATGGCGGAATAAATAAATAAAATTATGATAAGAGTAAATTAAACCACTTACCCAATCCGTTTCATTCAATATCGTCACGAATGTGTCAGTGAGGGCATCGTACTTTCTAAAATCCTTTCGATGCTCCCTAACAATGTACTCAGTGTCTGAAAGTAGATAAAAATTGTACAAATCAACGCTAATTTGATAAATGTCATGTAAAATCTTAAAGTAAATAATGCTGCAGCAAAAGAAGAATTACGTTGCGTTATATAATCAAGCAATATAATCACGAATGCGTTATCACCACTGAGAAACAATGGTATCAGGGGTGACAATGCTCTGTGGCCTTAATAATTTGTAGCCGATTACAAGTGCTCACGGGCTTGAACAGTTAGTGTTTATCAATGTAATGTTATTATAAAAACCCATTGTCAATTGGGTTATGTTATGCACTGAAGGTTGTGGTGACCTTGCTTTTCCGTTGGGTTTCTTAGTAAAGAATCTTATCATCAGAGAAAAAGCAGCTTTATTCGTTGAACGACTCTCCGCTGTTTTGCCGCTTGTTTTGTCTTCATTGTTTGTGTAGTGAGTATTGAAGAAAATCAACGGAGCTTCCTAAATGCTGCTATCCTAAATTCTCTTAACGGGTCTTTTCTCAATGTTACCATAGCCTATAAAAGTCCACTGCTGAACATAGGTCTCCCCAATAGATAGTCTCATAGGGAGGAATTTGTTCTGATACGCTTAGCGAGTGGGTTGGCAACCCTAGTTTTTTATTAAGATGCTACTGCCCATAACCTGTTTGAATTTCCCTCGGGCGCCTCTTACGACACCCACGGGAAGAAATGGGGTAGTCTATATTCTTACACCGCCACTACACGATTTTTACAAAATTATTCCTACCAAACTGCATCTACCCAAAAAAATATTTATATAAAAGTACGGCTTAAAAGATGTCACCATTGACAATTTTTGCGGCCGTTGGCTAACTTGAATTGAATTAAATATTAATTGGATTGACGTTATTTTTATACGTGGTGGAGCCACGCTGCAGCTATATTGTGGTTGCGGCACAAGTGGGTTGGCTCGACGGCAGAAGGACCACGCTCTCGCAGAATACCAGCGTAAAACAGCAGCTTAATACTGCTGTGTTTTTTGTGGTGAGTGTAGAGATCCGGAGACCCTTTTTACTGGAAACGAGGCATTCCATCTTAGTCCTCACGGGTGACAACGCATCTACGTTTTGATTCTTAAGCGAGGGTAAATGTAGATGTCTATGGGCCACAGCATCCACTTACCATCAGGTGGACTGTGTGCTCGCTTGTCATTTTCATAGAATAGGGTATTCTATAAAAAAAACATTTTACAACTGTCGTTACTACAACTTCAACTCAAACGAAAGATGAAATTCTATTAGAAATTTTTAAGAGAAAGATAGACAGTAGGGTGTCTGTCATGTATTTTTCTTTTACACCTAGATTTTTATTAGGTATTTAAAAATTGTGAATCGTAACCTAAGGTAAGCTTCACCTCAATAAAAAAACAAGATTTATGCTTATAAAATACACTCATCGTCCTTCTTGAACAGATTATAACGGATCAACAAAATATATTCCGTTGCAGGTCATTTTAAACCCACATGCAACCTTTTATAATAAGGAACCGTTACATTACATCGAAGGCACGCGCGGCTCAAAACACTTAATTAATAATTTAAATTTGCCTGTATGCAAAATGGCGTCGTATGCATTAATTATTTCTAATTTATGTACACACATTAACTGGGATATAGAGCAGTGGTAGCCCAGGTGCAAGCCGGCCGCCGCATATTTATTAATTTAGAGTAAGCGAGCAACCTGGGTTCGGTTCGTAATTGTTAAGTGCAATTTTAAATGCTGATTTACCACGTAATTCTCAGTGAAGAAAAACATAGTAAGGAAAAGTTTTTTATATAGGATACGGTTTCAAATGAACACACAGCCCACCTGATGGTAAGTGGTTGCTGTGGCCCATAGACATCTACATCTATCCTCGATTACGAATCAAAATGCAGATGCGTTGTCACCCGTGAGGACTAAGATGGAATGCCTCGTTTCCAGTAAAAAGGGTATCCCGATCTCTAACTCACCATTTGAAACACAGCAGTATTAACGTTCTATTTTACGCTGGTATTCTGTGAGAGCATGGTCCTTCCCCGGTCGAGCCGATCCATTCGTGCTTCCACCATACTTCTAATATAACTGTAGCGTGGCTCTACCACATATATAATATATGTAAATAAAATTACTTTTTAAGTGATAAAATACGTTAAGGACATGTCAAGTCCTGGAACACCGCGGCAGATGAATTGCACTGTAACCCTTCCACTAAGAAAGGGCCTGACCAATTTGTAAAACATTTAAAAAATTTCATTTATATTTTTGTTTATATTGTATATCAATATGTCATAATATAACGTTTATAAATTAAAAACACAAGTTATATCATTCTTTATTTGACTAAAATCTTATTAAAATTAAATGGTTTTAAAATAGGTTTCTAAAATAGTTATAAAAAATGTATCTTAGAAGCCAGTGTTTTTACTAGTACAAGTACAACTACAATAGATTCGGACTGTAAATAGAGCCGTATATAGGCTGTAACTTTAACTTACTTTAACTTTAACGAGCATACAATATACTTCTATTTTATAAAACATTTAAAGCGTTTATTTTACAACGTTTTTATTAAGTCATTTTCTTGTTTATCTGTCAACTTGAAAAGCCTGAAAGCTGGAAACTTGAAATGTTGAATATAGTTATAATTCGGATGACAATGCAATAATATGATTAAAATACGTGGTAAAATTTGTTTAATTTTTTTTTCACTTGTTTACTTATTTTGATATACCAACTTTTTGTTGTTTAACTGGTAACGCGGTAGTCCACTTTTATTGTCAGGAGCAACAACGCATTTGCAATTTGATTTGCCAGCATAGTTATCCAATTATCATTATGTGGACCGTATGTTCATTTGTATTCTTATTCAAAAAAAGTGAAATAAATATAGTAGGTACCTATTGTACATGTAAAAACAAAAGTGAAAAAGCTAGTGATACGAGTTGCTCAACTCCACGGTGTCACTAAATTGTTCCGGGGGCAATAAAGAGACCTTGTATAATATTTTCTATTATTTACAATAAAATAACAGAAAATATTATACAAGGTCTCTTTATTATCAAGTTTAAATATATTATTTAACAAAAATTGTATAATAAGGGTTATGATAATATAAATGTACATCGTTGATAATAACTGGGAATGAGGTGGTCGCTTTTATAAAAATATAAATTTTGTAAATAGTTTGTACAACGTACGTATCATTTTGTAAAGTTTACTTTAAAAAAATCCCACTGGTTTTGTTGCTGGCCTTTCCCAAGACAGAGGTTTTTTCCGAACCAGTATAAAGTAAAAAATTACTTTCAATAAAAATTACATACATGTGATATATTGAATACTACATTGAATAAACTATTATTTATTCTGTGCCGCCAAGAAAATATTATTACTGTACCATTAATACACACATATATTATATTAATAGGTACTCGACTACACACTCGTGCCACATATATATGTATTCGATGTAAATTGGATAGATTGCCTACCCTACTAAAACGGTAATATTATATTATGGGTCCGAAATCTGTATTTCAAAAAAATTGTAAACAAATCTAATATATTTTAATATGGGGTGTGGTTGTTGATAAAGATTAAATTCATAAAAAAGACTCCTTTAACAAATAAAATTTTGATATTAGTCATAATCATCTTTAAAACTTTTCTCAATCCACTGAAAACAGGTCTGCTCAAGGAATGCCACTGAACACAGTCGTGTGACACCTGCATCCATTGACTTCATACTTGTCTTACCAGATCGCCACTCTGTTGAAACATACATGTTTCGCAGCTACTGCATTTTTCCATTTAACAGTCACGAAAATTCGATATTTGAAATAAAAACTTTTGGCAACCCTTAATGCGACGCTTATGCGATGTTAAATAGGCTAGGATGTAGGATGCCCCTAAAATCTTTCGTGTACCGTATTGCCGTTACCGTGTATACCCAGGACCCGTGGCGTATTAGCCAAGGTAGTCTGGGCTACACAAAATAATGTAAGTTAAAAATTTAGGTAAATAACACAATTTTAAATTTAAAGTTAAAAGTTTTGTACAATCGACTTCAACACGACCAAGTCAATGTATTCGAAGTCAATTAAAAACGCTTTAGTACTGGTCAGATCTTGAGCAAATTTATATGGAACCACACGAGAAGTACCAGATTTCAAATAAAAGATAAGCTTTCAAAGAGTCATCAAAATCGGCTCACCCAGAAAATAGTTCTGAGGTTAACACACATAAAAAACATACAGTCGAATTGAGTACCTCGGAATTTTTTAAAGTCGGTAAAAATGTTTATCATGCTACATTACACCAGCAAGCGTCGGCATCTAAATGCGCATACCAAGATAACATAACAAATAAATACTTTAAATAAATTTCCACATAACTAATAATAAATAAGTAGGTAAGCGTAACAGACTAAATATTTACCTGAGATCCACTCTATTTGAACTCGCTCTGGGTAGAAATCTGCTTGTAGAGGCACTATTTCTTCTAAAGTGAACGGTTTTTGAACAATCGGTGCGAAAAATGAAGATTCGGTGAGGCAACACATCAATGTCAACGAGACCAGCGTTACAAAAGTACGCGTCTGAAAAAGAAGCAATGTATTAAGGACATTGCAGTTAACATAATATTATGTGCAATGAAATAATAAAGTTATTTAATACTTTTACATAATATTATTAGCTATAGTTTCTGTACAATCTCATCTGACGGTAAGTGATGATGTAAACCTAGGCAGTAAATCGGATTAACCTCTTATTGTCTCACTTATGCCAACCTATTTGTTTCATTTTTTTTAAATTTAAGCGTCTTTCATACTTATGCAACCACTGTTGTTAAACGGGATTTAAAATACAAAAGTTAACTATCACATTTTCTACAATCCATCACGTAACTGATTCCTTATCACATTCATTAATGAATCCTCTCGGAACATACTAAAAGTTGGTCAAGTCTATTTTCAGTCATGCAAGAGGCAGGGTTTCGCAATACAGATTATTATAATAATTTCTAGTTATTAATATTGCTGTAGAATTTATTAAATTTTTTATCGAAAGTGTTACACTTTTAAAAAGATGAGAAATATAGCCTAATATAGACTAATTTAAAACTTGATGTTTCGAAAATTACTTATTAATACTAAGAAAAGACCTTCCTAAAAAAGTTAATTAGCGTAGTATATTTGAAGCGTAATAGAATTCACTACTTCATATTATTAACCCTTGCGTGTTGTAAAGAGGCAAAATAAAATTGAACAGGAGGTTGGTAGCAACATCTTTCTGATGACAACTCAAAATAATAATAAAAACTGCAGTTACCAACCCGTGGCAAGCGTGGCAATTACGGAAAATTACCCCTAGGAAGCAATCTTTGAGATCCTTATAAGGAATCGAGGCAGCGGAGGTTCAGCAGTCGACTTTGATGGTAGGTATGTAATGATGATGATGATTATTATTATTATTTATAATAAAAAATCCAATTTGCATTGACGGATTATCATACACAGGATTTTAAGATTAGAAAGATAGAAGATATATAGAAAGTTAACTAATAGTTAAATAGGTGACTGTGAGAATCTAACATTGTTTACTCACGCACTTGAAACTTGTTTTTATTATCAATATGTTTAGTTGTTAGTTATTTAACATAATGAGTAAATAACTACATAAGACGTGGCATTTTAGAACATAACGAAATTATAAGGTTTTCTTTATATGGCAACAAAATCCTAAAATACATTACATAATGCAAACAAAAATATTGTATTCTCAAATAAATGGCCTTTTTTACATTTCATTGTCCTTATAAAGCGCACTTAAAACCTTACTTAAGTAATAATAGCCAATGAACACCACAAAACCACCATATTCAAAATATTTTAATTTTAAGGTTGTTTTCAAAAACTTTAAAAAAAACAGTTTTTGTGGCTGTGATATCGATGAAATCTAACCCGAAGTTTAGAGCCATAAGGTTATAATTATAATTGAGTCTGATAAAATAAACCAAATGTTATTTGGTTATCAAAAAGTCTGTTGTTTTGATATTTTCTCTCTGCCTAACTCGCTTACGCAATTAGGTATTCCTATGTAGTGGTGAAGACCGCTTTTCTGATTTTTCGAATCCACATTGCTCTTTCCAACGCATTGTTTTCAGTGAACTTGCAGCTGCCTATCTTTGTTGACCTCATGCATCCAATTTATTTTCGGTCTGCCCCGTTTTCGAGGTCCAAGGATGTTTAAACTGATTCAGAGATCAGTGCTTTTAGTATTTACACCAATTAACTGCTTTCCTGGAGCTTTTGAGTAAAACTTAGCGGTTAGCCACCGCAGAGTCTACTCCACCTGAGGATGTCTCGTGTAGAGGCGAAATACGTGTCGTATTACCCGATAGTGATGTGTCTTTCCTAGTTTAGTGGTGTTGGGAGCAGTGGTGCTGGGATTAGTGGTGACAGGGATAGTGCACGCAATTGAGGAAGGGCGGGAGATGCTCTTCAAACTAGATAATACACATCATTTTATTTTAATACGCGGATGTTAACTAATTATTTTTTAACATCTCTAAGAAGTATTCTTTGTTTTTTTAATTAGGTATAATTAACTTGATAATTTGAAATCCAATTACAAAACTGGAAAAAGATGACAAAAAAGAGTAATTAAATCTGTATTTTGGCTGCCACAGCGCGTTAAAATTTAAATAAGCAAAAAGATTTTACATTGTTTTTGTGCGTTATTTTTAATTCATATTATATGAGAATATATGGCCATCTCGGCGTAATATCACTCACCATATTACGTGAATTAGCTTTAAATGTGTCGCAGGACGAGGGCTCGCTCTCTTCAATGAGAGTTAAACGGTTCAATCAGATGGCATCGCACACCGCGCACAGCACGTCAAAATCGGCGCAAACGCGCGCTGCAATCCGACACACAGGCAGTCCGCAAGCCGCGCGAACACTCACTAGTCACTGCCATCTGCCACAGAGTAAAATGCGCATACGCTACACGACACATGCGATATCGAGACAACTTGCTACGAACGAAGTATTGAAGTACTTAATAAGAAAACGAGTTCTTGGCATCCAGAATTCAGATCTTAATACTCATCAGCCAGGTCAAATGTCATGGAAGTTAAAATTAAAAGAAAAAATGTCAACAACGAGAGTTCATTTATTCAGGAGTTTATTCTAAAAAAGACAAAAAGTCACTTAAATGAGAAGAAAACAACCGTACTCTAAAACGTACCTATGTGGGTAACCGTATTATTCTAAGGAATAATAAATAATCAATTCCACGCAACGGTTAAGTGATCTGACTGTAATTAACAATAAATTAATATTCTTATCTAATTTATCATAAAATGTTGACATAATATTCGTATGTTAAAACTAAAAAAAAACGCATTGGCTACAAGTGTTATTTGAAGTAGTAGTTATAAGACGTTCAGTTCAAATGCCGATAAATGTTATAAATATATTTACTTGAAGTAATGTTAGCCATGAGAAAAAATAACTATTTATTAAAACAATATAAATTAAATACACATAACGTTGACGCTCTGGAAACAGTTAATATGGTATAAACAGTAAATCAAACAATGAAAATAACAAACATAACCAATGACCTTTGTTAATTGGAATTTTAAATGCTGCCTTATGTGGTACACGGCAGTGAAAAATAACAATGTGAAGAAATCTGCACATATGAAAACATGTGCAAACACTCATTGAAGTTTGTGGTGAACTCATTCCTGCCCTACAACCGTAACCCTCTATGATATGAGGGGACAATAGGTACTCCGCAGTGCAACATATACTAGTATATGCTGTTACTTTGACTTTTTCTATGATTAGATAAATATTTTTTACTTACTTAGGCAACATGTGTTCTGGCAGTTTGTAAAGCTAGTCCTCATTTTCGCATCCTTTTCTCTTTTCGTATTTTAAAATTTCTTTCCTGCACCATGTCACGCAAACTTACTTTCATGTTTGTTTTGAAGATGATGATGTATCCTTACATAAATACTCGCCAATAAAATCGAAGTATTTTCTGTGTATTAGAGGATTGTTTTGGATTCATTATTTTCTTTCTTTCCTTTTAAAATTGACATATAATTTAAATCTTACCTTGGTAAAAACGTGTTCTCAGGAATAAATACTACGCAAAGAACAACTGGAACGTAATTGACAGTCATACCCTCTTTAAATCATTCTTATATGATCTCCCCTAGCCGCTTTCGGCTACAGCGACCGTTTTTCACTCCTATATATAAGTTTTACTGCTGCGCCCGTTCATGTGCTCGCAAGTGACTAGCATAGCCGATCTTAGCAAGAAAAGTGCGAGCACACTTAGAGCAGGTGAGAACACCGTCGCAGTAATTATATTGTGTAGCGAACCGCAGGTGGTCGGGCTTAAAGTTCCTCTCGTTTAGAATCTAAATCTTGTACGCGTGGCTTCGAAGGTGTCAGTCTTTAGCTAGGTACTCCCAAGAGTAGGGCTCGATGTTGCATTTTTTCATATGCCTCTTTAATACATCCTTATATCTTAGGAGCTGCCCGCTTTGTTTGCGCTTGCCTTCTTGAAGCTCAGAGTACATGACGCGTTTTGCCACTCTATTATCAGCCATCCGAAACACATGACCACACCAACGCAGATGCCGTTGCATCAGGAGTGCCTCCATGCCACAGATGTTAGCTCGGCGTAGGACTTCCGTGTTGCTGACACGGTCAGGCCAACGTATACCCATGATATTACGGAGACATTGAATATGGAATCTATCCAGAATTCGTATGTGCCTCCGATAAAAACACCAAGACTCATAAGGAATATAAAAGGTTTGGCAAAACAACCGCCCTATAGACTGCTATCTTAGTGGGGATCATGTGAACGGAAAACCTTGGATCTCAATTTTCCGAAAGCAGCTGATGCAGCACCGATTCTTCCGTTAATTTCAGCTTCAAGGTCACATTTAGATGTTATTACGCTTCCCAAGTACTGAACTTTGACATGAACTTTCTTATACTTATATATATATATATATATATATATATATATATATATATATATATATATATATATATATATATATATATATATATTTTCAAAAGCAAGATTTTACTCACTCCACCACTATCTTTTCACTAAACGTGATGTGTGTGTGATGCTAGTAGCATAGCATTTAGCTATTGAGGACCTTAAAATAAGCTACATTTTTTCATGGGATATTGCCTACGTATACTTTTCCTCGCGGCGATAAGGACAGGTTACGCGCCGTCTCAAACTCTATACACAATATTCTATATTCGGAAAACATTCGCACACATCCGCAAACCCGCCAGCCACCAGTGCTAGACCATCCATTGGTGGCCTCGCCACCAGAGGGAAACTCGTCTCCTCATTGTCCTCCTAACGCCACAGGAACGGTTTGTTTTTTCTATGCAAGATGCTCGTGTTTCTGTAAAATACAATTATTCAATTTTACCGTGTAACAGATTAAATACGTTTTTTTTTAATATTGGCGCTTAGGTGTGCTCCAATTATGTACAAGTCCCAAAGAGTTCTACACAACACAGGTTAGTAAACAACCTTCACTTTTTCATTGGAACCTCGAAAAAAATTAAGATATTTTTACTCGACCTCGTGTACCAAAACACTACCTCGTGTAACAATACCACAATTGAAGATTTTCGTAAATAATTTTATTGTATGCTGTAATTTTTTGAAACTTTACCCAAACCCTTTTTAAATGTTGAAAAGTTAGACTTATAAATAATAACATTTTTGCAAATCAAATTCCCCTTACTGGTGACAAGTCGACAAGTAATTAATTTCCTGTAGGTATTTGAATTACTAACAAGTTACTAATAAAATAAGACGTGATATTTATTATAAATGTTAAATTCGTTAAAGCTCGCTGCCTAAAGACCTTGAAATTGATTTTTAAATAATAGGTACCTAGGTACTACACGTTGCGTGATGGCGGCGTATTAGAAATCCTCAGATGAAGTGAAAAGAGGAGAATTCACTACCCTATAATATCCCATGGGTGTCGTAAGAGATGATAGAGGAGATCAAATGAATCAGAAGATCTGATCTGAAGCTATACCTGTAGCTGTACTGATCAGGGAGATATCCCTGATAATAACAGCTCAAAATAATAAAAATTGCGGTTGCTAACCCCTCCGCCAGGCGTGGCAACTGTGGCAAATTTACCCGCTATGAGGCAATCAATAAGTGAGGCCTATGTTCACCGGAGGAATTTTTATAAGCTGTAGTGAAACAAAGATGACTTGCAAAACGTTCGGTTGCTTGCACTCAGTTGATCCGTGAAGTGGTTACAGTGACGTAATTTGTGCCAATGACTGGTACCCGCAGTTATGTCAGCTTATGTTATACAATTCCTTTCGAATGTGTTCGATGAACTGTCATAAAAATGTCATGTATCAGATAAGAGTATTTCTGTTTTTAAATATTAAGTACTTACTTTGTGACAAAATAAGGACAAGGCTGTGGATTAAATCATCAAGCTCGTATGAGCGCCTAACACTTTATTCACCACATCATTACCAACTCTGTTAAGTAGACCGTATGCAAACTTCGTTACAAAATAAGTTTAAATTTATAAAGACTTGCGTTTTCATAATATTTGCCTCTAAATTTTTATCTAAAAGATTATTGATTTCACTTTTACTTTTAAGGCACTTGATGGTATGTAAATGCCATGGCCCATATAAAAAACCAACCTCCATCCGCGATTAAAAATTAAACACACAGAAGTACTGTCGCCCTTGAGAACTTTATTAGAATGTCTCAATAACAATAATAAGGATATCTGGTCGACTACACTTAGCATAGGCAACACAGGAAGTGTTATAATAATAATAACGAATATGATTTATAGCAACTTATATCTTTTTCTTATTTTTAAACTAGTATATCCAAATGTGCATGCCTTAAGCGCTTATGTTACCTACGTCAATTTTTTTAAAGTATTTTAAATACACACAAGTTTTCATAAATAACCTTGTAATTAATACCACAGAATAAATAATAGTACTACCAGGGGCGTAGCTACCGCAGTATGAGCCGTATCAATGATACGGGGCCCCCGGGCTACAGGGGCCAATGTGCATAATCGAAAATTCGTAAAATGTTATCCACAAATCCACTTGAACGCTTAGGCCGTACTTGCCGAAAAAATAATCATATCATCAAATAGTTCCCAACGTTTAGGCACGTTGCAGTTGCATTCGCAGAAGACCTGTCAGAAATTGTCCAATTTTCTGTAGTTTTTCGATACATCTCGATAACAGAAAATTGTGATAATGTATTTAAAGAAATAATAATCCTTATTGACAAACATTATTACAAGCACAAAATTTACGTCGGTTATTAGTCCCTAAGCTGAAAACTTCTACCTACTTTCAGGCGCTAAATTAATAGTTGCCTAGACGGGGTGCATAATCGGAATTCATGTATATTATTTTTCTTTCGATTTTCTCAAGTCCAAGATACTTTGTAGACATTATCAATAAAAAATTATACATATTTTTTGTTTGAAAGGTCAACGCAGAAATTAAAGAAGTACCTCACAGAATTACAAATTCATGGAAATCTTGGCATAAAATAATTTAAAATGAATACAAACATTCATTACTAACGTTTTTTGGAATTCTTGCAAAATTCGTTCAGTTCTTCGCTAAAACATCTGTTGTAGCAAAGTAATTTAGAATACGAATTAGAGACGAATTTAGCCAGGATACGTCTGATCAATAATGAAATTAGTGTTGGT